TTGGCATACAGTAAAATACATAGGTACCAAACTCGGCCGGTGATAAATTTTCAAGACCTCAGTCCTTACTGATTTTTGAACTCGGCCTTCGGCCTCGTTCAAAAATCCAGTAAGGACCTCGGTCTTGAAAATTTATTTACACCGGCCTCGTTCAGTATTATATAGTACCAGATCGCCGTCGTGAAAACGGCTATTATAATCAAATGACACGCCGTTATAAAGTCACGGACGAAAGTTTTTAATCCTCAATAGTCAATATGCATAAATAGGTAATCCCGGTTTATGTTCAACCATTAGCTTATCTCTGTTTCAGTAAAGGCATGCACTGAAAACAGTTTAACCCGCGCCCCGTTGGGCTCTGCCGAGCAACGCGCCCCGTTGGGGGGGGGGGGGCATTTTGGCCCCCCCCCCCCTAAGATCTCGAGAACCACGCAACCTAGCGACAAGCGGCAAACGGTGTTGGATAGCCCTATCAGGGAACTACCTTGCGACCCAATTTTATTGACCTAGGTCAAACCGATGACGTCACAGGTCAGGTCAAAGGTCCAATTTTCACAGTTTACAGGCATTTCAAGAAATGCGTTGTAAAATCGAGCTAAATGCATTTCATTGAAAATCATCGATGGGGAAATGTTCTTCAAATACATATTTTGCTAGTTGAGGTCACTGATACCAGGTCAGGTCACAGAGGTCAGGTCAATGGGGGGTCACAATATGAAAGTGTCGTGTGATACATGTTTTATGGTCCATTTTACATGACAAATGCGATTATGTGGGTCAGGCAGCCCTTGGGGCCAGCTTAGGTCACGTTTTGGTCAAGGTCAGGTCAAGGTCAGGTCAAGGTCAGGTCAAATTAGGTCAAATTTCAAAGTTGATATTTTTGCATAAAATGGGTATTGAATCGATGCAGCTCGTCACGGGGAGTTCGATGGTGGTCTTTGTTTTGCCGTGCGAGGTCTAGAATCGCCAAAAATTGAGTTCAAAAATTTGACGTCATCATTTTTGAAGTTTTTCGCTATAACTTGGCCAAAAAACGAGCTATCTATCTGAAATTTGGTATGTATATAGAAGAGCGCAGGGACTATGACATATATTCCGGTCTTTCGAAATTCGGAAAGTTTTGGATTTTTTTAGTTTTTTTTCTAAAAAAATCTATTTTTTGATTTTTTTTGGGGCCAAAAACCCAAAATTTTGAAAATCCGAGATAGCAGTTTTGTAGCGCCGCTTTTTGTCTACTAGACCATATAAAGAACTTTGAAATTGCTTGATAACTGTAGATTTGGTGAGCGTTTCAAGATTGCATGTTTTTTGCTCATTTTTGCTCGAACATGACCTCAGTTTGACCTCAATAACTCCTGACCTAAGGTGGCCTAAGACTTGAAATTTGGTGTAAAGGTGTCAAATTGATGCCCAGGAAGGTACTGAAAATTTGGCGGCGCTGCGCGCCGCCGTTTTCTTACTATTAACCTTCCAGGCAGTGGGGGGGGGGGGGCATTTCCCCCCCTTCAGTTTTTTCAATATATCTCGAGAACCGCTGCGCCGATCGTCACCAAACTTTCAGTACCCTCCCGGGAGCAGCTAGCACACATGGTGACCAATGTTTTTTCCAAAGGCTCTGATAGGTTGGCCGCTAATGACGTCAGAGTGACGTCATTTTTGCCATTTTCGACCCAAAAAAAGGCTTCGCGGGAAGAGCTGTCAGGCCTACAGCTTTAGAGATACAGAAAAATGTTTAAAACATGAAAGGTGTGGAATCAAATGGGCTACAAAACTGCTATTTCGGTTTTTCGATTTTTTTTTTGGATTTTGACCCCCAAAAATCAAAAAATAGATTTTTTGAATATAACAGCCAAAAAATCAAAAAAGTTTTTTGAATTTCGAAAAAAACGAAACATATGTGATAATCCCTACCACCTTCTATCTACATACCAAATTTGAGATCGATACTTCTTTTTTTTGGCCAAGTTATAGCGAAAAAACTGTTCAAAATTGATGACGTCAAATTTTCAAACTCAATTTTTAGCAATTCTAGACCTCGTAGCGCAAAACAAAGACCACCATTAGACTCCCCGTGACGAGCTGCATCGAATCGATACCAATTTTATGCAAAAATATTAACTTTGAAATTTGACCTTTTTTTACCTGACCTTGACCTGACCTCCACCAGAAAGTGACATAAACCGTACCTGATGGTCTTATAACCAACACCATTGAGTTGGAAATGAAAAACTGGCCATAAAACATGCATCACATAACCTTAGTAAAGTTGGGCTTATGTGGTGACCCTTGGTGACCTTTGGTGACCTGACCTGTGACCTGACCTGGTATGACCAGTGACCTCTAATAGCAACATATGTACTAGACAACTGACGCCTTATCGCTGATTTTCGGCAAAATGCGTTTTACTCCGTGTTATAGCGCTTTCCCTAGAAAGAAGCCCCGTGAACGGTGAAACATTTTATCTTTGACCTGACCTGTGACGTCATCGGTGACCCCGAGGTCAATGAAATTTGGTTTCCTTCAACAAATTTGACAGGGCTATCGAACGCCGTTTGAATTTTCTGGATGCGTCCAGTAGTTTCGGAGATACGGGGGGGGGGGCAAAAAAATGCCCCCCCCACCGCGCGGAAGGTTGCTGGTAGGCCCACCGCCTGCCGGGTTAAGGAAAAACCACAGGGGGGCCAAAATGCCCTTCCCAACGGGGCGAGGGTTAACCCAGGGCCGGCGAGTAAACCGGTGTTTCGCGGGTACCCCTATCCGCAATCATTTTTAACCACCCTCCCAGGAGTACAGTAAGGTCCCATTGCAGTGTAGCCGTATCTGCCTCAGCGGTTATATCCGCTCAGAGCAGGTATGATTAAAAGGGGTTACCCTCCACGCCTACCCTTCGCCGACCAAGTCACGAGGGCCAAAAAAACTCCCACGCTTGACCATATTTGAGGGAAATTATCTATATTATGACAATCTCACACCCAGAAAACATCGGTGAGAAAGTTTTACGTCGGTGGGAACGGTCAAATCGAATTCCCATAGAAAATTCGACATGACCCAATCACCGGTAGTCGTACAGACGGCGCCCAAGATCAAGAAGATGTCTCGCGACTGCTTTCGTGACCTATATAAGAATCAAAATGGTTTCACTTGGTAGTTTCGGAAGAAAAGGCGTTGCCAATCGTCCCGTGATGAATATTGCAGAGGTTTTAACCCGCGCACCGACGGGGGTCTGCGCCAACTTCGTACTGACGGGGGGGGGGGGGGCGCGGATGACCGCCCCCCCCCTGAGATCTCGAGAACGAAGCAAGATAGCGACAAGCGGTAAACGGCAAGGGATACGCACGGACAAGGTCTATAATTTTTACAAAGGTCATTTTCAGGTCAGGTCAAAGATGACGTCACAGGGGTCAAAAAAGTCAAAATGGCGGCGCTAGGTATGGAGAGAGTTTTTCTCGAATAACTTTCGAACTAGTCAATATAGGAACAAACTAAGGGCAGCATCGTGATCCTCTCGTCAATCCGCATCGAATGATGTATATGTTGACCTCGAAAGGTCAAGGTCAAAGGTTGACCTCAGGTCACGTGACCTTGAGGTCATCATGCATATCATTCGATGCGCCTTGACGGGCTGAACACAATGAGACCATCCACGCGGCTGTATCTTGTTCCTGTACGGAGGTATTGTCAAAAAACCGCTGGTGACCTTTGATGACGTCACGTGACCTCACAGCTGCCCAACAGCAAAACAGACCTCAAGGTAGTGAAGGTTGATCGTATATGAGGTCATGTATGGTTTATGGGGCCATTCCGACCCGTTTTAGTGGTAAAAACAGGGAGTTGATTTTTCCCCCATTGACTTATAATGGGGAGGTCGCGAAATTGACCTGACCTTAGGTCACCGATATCAAAATTCCGAGATATACAAATTGTAGCTACTAATGACCTTATAACATCCTGTGACTTTCAAAGGCCTCCGACATCTACTGTAGCTCTGGCACGGTGACAAAGTTGCAAAAAAGTGACTTGAGGTTGGGTCATTCAAAGTGACCTGGTGACCTGACCTTTAAAGATAGGAGGTTCAAACTTGCACACCATGTGTAAAATTGATGAGAGAATAGTCGTACAAAATTTCGCGGCGCTACGCGCCGCGGTTTTCCCGCTATTCGCGAAAAACCTCAGGGGGGGCGGGGCCGCCCCCCGTCGGTGCGCGGGTTAAAGACGCACCCTAACAATTGTACTTTCGCCCCCACTTGAAACCGCCAAACAATGTGCCAATATATCATTGGTGCAAAAAAAGTTGAAAAATTGCTGTAATTCAAAACTTTATGAGACAATGCCATCTTTAGTTGTGCCAGTAGATCAAACTCCTTCAGGGCAGGCTATGTAAAGGTTCGCCATCCACGGATACGCGTTTACGATATCTCGAGTAGTTCCAATTCTTTCAGTGAGGGCTATGCCAATGACTCGACACCCGCGGGGACAATATCCGGTGCTGAGTAGCTACCTTACTGCAGACTGTGTTACGAGTAATAAGGCAGGCAAGTCTGCTTACCCTCTAGCTAGAATCTGGACATGGCGAGTTAATACACATATACCACCCGCAGAGCAACGCTTAATTCGCCAGCTTCGGGTAAAATTGTTTTCAGTGTGGATGATCTGGTCACAAAACAAACACACTTTGGTGTACATATTATGCCTGTAACCAACTTTCCTAATTAAAGACGAGCTGTGTGTAAACATGGACAGAAACAATGAAATAAAACATCTAAAATGAACTAAAAGATCTTCCCTGGCGGACGTCAAACAGCTTGGAGCAGCCATTCATACCTGGGCTGAAGCACCTTCACAGCAACCCCACCAGGAGTTAGGGTGGCGCCTACCACAATGTGCACTTTGCGCGCGGATTTGGGTATACGCTGGTGAAGGCCCGTAGCGTAGGAAAGCTCCGGCCGCGCAGAAGCACGGGCCTATCCACGAGGTCAGCGCGTGCTGTATGACGTCACAGGCGGCGGGGGGCGGGGCAGGGCGCCGCGGGCCCTGCTCCGACGGACTGCCTATATAGCAGACCGGCCGCGGGGCCACGAGAATATTGTCGGTTGGAGTCTGGTAGAGATCACGTGCAACTGCTCTGAAGAATTGTGAGTCTACACTTCGGTTTAGGTGAGTTTTTGCTTTCAGTCTACTTTGGAATGTTTATGTTGACATGTGTTTGGCTGCGACCTTGGGGTCTTTTTGTTTTGTTTTGGTGGCTGACCAGGCAAAGGGTTGGGAGCGTTGACGTCTATTTGATTTGCGACGGTTAGCTTTAGGTTGTTTAATTAAATCGATCCTACTTAGTTTGTTTTTGCCTTGTTGATTCAGCTGGTCGGACTAATTTTATGCATCCTTCACAGGAAATGCTTATTCAAGGGAACCGAGCCCGTTTACCCACCATTCTGTTCCGTGTTTCATAAGACGAATCATAATTTGTTCGTATCGTTTATATTACACACTTTTATTGTTATGCTCGCATTACTTATTTGTCACTGGAATGTAAAAAGTGTGATCTCGATGGAACTTGTATGCAACGTCTTGTTTCCTAAGTGCGAGTACGTCGTCGCATGTGAATCTACGTACTTGATGTTTATGAGACGGGCTAAAAATGATTTTTATAGTTTCAATTAAATCAAATCCTTTTGTTAAATTATTCGAAGAAGTCAAAAGTTAAGTTATGGTCATTTTACTGAAACTTACAGTGTGATAGAAACTTAATATCTACATAAAGGACACCTTGGTGGGTACATTTGTTTTTTGTCTTATGATCCTGATAAATTCAGTGCATTGCATTGCTAGTTCACTGATCTTTCTGGCCAGCCTGTACAAAGAAATTTCGTCGGGCTCCCCCACCCTCCCCTCCCTTCCGCTCTCACCCCGTGAACAAAGGCTTGCCCCGCGAGACGCCGACCGTGGTGGGAGAGAGGGGAAGAGGGAGGGAGGGAGGAGGCGGAACTTTCCAGCCCAGCCGCTGTTCACGTGACCATCATGAGCAGTACGCGTGCTCGCGAGATCGCATCGATCGGCGCGGCGGGCCGCTCCCTCCCTCCCTCTCCCAGCGCGGCGCCTGAGGTCAGCCCGCCCGACAACAGAAGGACCGCCCCGCCCCGCCCCGCCCCGCGCCGACCGGCCGGCCGGCCGCCAGCTGGCTCCGGGCGACAGGTGGCTGTTCACGAGGTGACCGCGTGCCCAGGCGCCGGCCGTAGTACGCACCCCTCTCCCTCCCTCGTCCCTCCCTCCTCCGCGGCCGGGGGAAAGTCAGGTGACCCAGCTGCTCGGAGCAGCTTAGAAGAAAAAAAAGCAAAGTAGCGTGAGCTGTTACGGAAAGGAATAGTTGACACCGAAATCTAAACAGATATTTAAAAAGAATCCATTAGATAATAGAAAGCTGGTATATTTGCCCGGCTATGAATTCTAACGAATTCTAATTAGAATTCTATGAATTAGAATTCATAGAATTAGAATTCTATGAATTCTAATATAATAGGTATCCGCCAAAAATATGCTGACGTCCGACCAAGTGTGGCTATAAATAGTACACCTGGCGTTGGGAAAGTAGGGCTACACATGAGATGCTTCAGCGAAGTAGTGATTCTGACAAAAGATTCGTCTACGAAACCCGAGGGTGCATTGCATACGGCAGTTGTAAAATATGAATGTCACTAACCAGACGTTTCTGTTGTTCCAGGTCACTCAAAGTCGTTCAAGATGGCCACGAATAAAACCGTTCTGGACAGGTAAGAAATGCTTCTAATTGTACTTTATTTTTCAGCGATTCATAACTAAAATGGACAGTCTACGTCACGACAGGTCGTCACGTATACCTTTCAAGAATTATTTCAATAATGAAACTCAACATAAAAATATCCGGTAGCTTTGCTTTTGCACCGTTTGACATTACTCTGTGCTCAGTGCTCAGTGCTCATCAGCCGCTGCCGCCAATGCCCCTCCCAGTCTAACAGTTGATTTGTCTGCGACAGGTATCTGAATCTGCCAGTGCCTGACAACACCACTCAGTGCATGTATATCTGGATCGACGGCAGCGGAGAAAATGTGCGCGCCAAGACCAAGACGGTCAATTTCAACCCCAAGTCGCCCAGCGGTAAGTTTCTACCACTCATGTTGTGAAAATATTAATTCAACCCCTGCTATTTTGCCTCTACCGTATTAGCCGTTATTGTAACACTTATCTTTAATTGCGGATCCGTAAGCTGTGCGTTGTCGGTTGTACAACAGAATGTCAATGAGCGCATGTACGAGTATGTTGGACCTCCATAACATCCCAGTCAAAAGCTGGCTATTCGAACCAACAAACTCATATTATACCACTAGTGAGACCCGTGTTTCGCAACTATCTGCGGTCATAAACCTGGCCAAGTCTGCGGCGGTCCCTGTTGCCTCATCGGCCGTATGACGTCAATCGATCCATTCCGCACGGCGCCTCTGGTTGGCGAAGCGTCGCAGGCCGACGGTGGCGCTCGCTAACCTTGGTAGGGGTCAGACCGGGAACACGCGCCCGGGCCGTGGGCCGTCCGCACCTGTTTGTGCGCATCACCTTCCAGCGCCCCAGACGTGTGCGCAGGTTTGCAGTGCCATAAACATGTCAAAGTTGAACTTCCCGACGCTCTGAGCGAGACTTCTGCGTTGTGCATCGGTGGACCAAGTCGTAGAAATCATTCTCGCCTGCCCAATTGATATTGGCGTAGTGTGAAGCAATGCGAAGGCTTGGCATCGATCCAGAGACACGGCTGCTCAAAGGAGGTCATGTGGCGCAGAATAAGGCGGACCGAGAGTTCATACGGGGCGTTCTGAATTCAGAGCCAGCGTAAACTGTTCCAGTGCTTACCTTGTCTTTCTCTTGACGTGCCAAGGTCAAAGCACCCCGGTATTTGGGTCAGTGGGCTATATTCCGCGGTTTCACTGTCACGGCGTACCAACTTCGTCTTGGTCGTAACGTAACTGAGCTTAGGTATACTCGTAGAAGTCTCGAAATAGAAACCAAGTAGGCCGCACTACTGCTCAGCCAGGAATATTCTACATTCTCACCACGAAGTGAGACGTAAGGTTTCCAAACGACTCCATACTTGTACTATTGGTCTCAAGATAAGGGTCCAGGCGACCTGTAGGTTTGATGCGGTGAATACCCCCACCTTCGCCACACTCGCTCGGTGCTACGGAGCTCCGATCTCGCGACCGGTCACCTGTACTTGTAGACTGTGCCGCATGACATAGCAGTTGAGCGGGCCAGCGGAGCTTAGGCGGAAACTAGCGCCGCGTTTGACAGAGAAGGGCGCTTACCATTCCGGCGGGAGAGCCGCTCGCCATTTTAACTCCATGTAGCGTCTCGCTGACAATGAAAGACGCTACAGGACGACACTACATGGGTCGGCAAAAGTTATGTCCACTACCCATGACAACACTTTCCGGTTCCTAATCGTGTCTACACCTGAGGGATGACGATTCAGGCTGCACTCCTGCATTGCACGGTCCTTGGCGGCAGAACATGAGGTGACGAACGGACCTCGGGTCACGGATCACCGAGCTACGGCCATTTTCACAGAGATTGTCCACCTGAAAGGCTGCGTCGCTACATGAAGGTCTGACATTTCTATCAAGGGAGCTGAACCAGACAGTCGGCATGTTCCAGGCCGAAATGATACAGCGTGTCATTGCTGATTGGTTGGGACATCTGTCCGGTTGTTTTTGTTTGCAAGTCTTAATTTTATAGACGAACTATCTGCACAGCCCGGTGTTGGTGGGATAAGCATACGGCTGCTGGCAGTGTCGCTGATCGTTCCAGTTTGCAGAGTGGGCCTACCATTTCAAACGTTACAGAAGTCGCATTGAAAAAGGCGGCCGGGAAGAGGGGCCAATAGTTCGCGACAAAATTGGCCAAACGGCTCGCGCTGAAGCGCTATCACATCTCCAAACAGGACCGTGAGACGCTATTGGAAGAGCTCTCCGAGGCTCATTACCTACCTTTGGCCCAATGCTAGGCCAACGCATGGTCAATGACATGTTGACATGCATTTTCAATCAGGACGGCGCGCCAGCTCATCGCTCTGCCAAGGCCTAGCGGTGGTGCGAATTGAACGTGCCAGACTTCTGAAGGAAAGACATGCTAGCCGGCTGCCATCCAGACCTCATCCTGATCGACGAACTTCGGGCTATCGTCCAGCAGGACCTGGACAAACAGAAGCCGGCTGCTAGCCTCGGCGCCTTGTCGTTACAGCTCAAACGGGCAGGAAAAAAATCCAGCCGTATTTACTGCACAACCTAGTTACCAACATGCAAATTTGCGTTCGTAATGTAAATCCCTGTTCGTGGGGAATAAACTGAACGCAAAAGAATCGCTGTCCCCTATGTAGCAACTTAGAGAGAATATTTTTTTTTAGAGGATAAAACTTATGCCGGACCATATAGCTCACGTATCATTCATTGCAGTTTCAACTTAGGCTGCAATACGTGGCAATTTGTTTAAGACGTAGCAATTATAATGTTGTCATGATCGGCATACCGCCGCCAACGTCGCTGTTTATATCATTATCTTAACGGTGGCATATTTCAACCTTCATAACTAGTAATTTCCTACTGTTTCGTATAATCTCATTTATTGCGCTGAACAACTGTTGAACAGTTCATTTCAATAACTGCATTGTTAAACCTTCGGTAGGGTTAACCATTAAACAATATGTTAATCTCGCCCCGTTCGTTATGTGTTCGCTTTATGCTTCTATCGAACGTGATATCATTCCAAGAAAGCACTAATAGTGTAGAGTGTAGAAGCCATTCCCACTGATGGGACTCGAAACGATGCAGCTAGGTAATGCATAAGACTGATTGGCGAATTTCAGCTTATAGACAAGGCAAGGAAACGTTCTCAAAAATCAAATCCACACTGAACAAACATATTTCAAGAGTGCACGTGTCTCGTTGTCGTTGTATCCGTTATTCCTCGTCGGACCTATCGACTTCCTGAATACCGAGAGGGGTCTAGAGTGTGTGTGTGTGTGGGGGGGGGGGGGGGGTGCTGGACCCTCGACGCCGTTTCGCCCATAATTAAGCTAAAAGCCTTGCAAACAAAAACAACACCCAGCGATTCACAATCATGTTAAAAGTGTCAGATGAACATGTGACCTCTGAGGTCAGGTCACGTGCACTAGTGCAGGGTGTTCATTAGTGAATGACATAAAGTAAGCCGCCGCTGGAGCCCCAAATGATCGCCGGCTATCGTGCAGACGAACCTTCGACGACTCACGGCAGCGTTCAGTTCATCAAGGGTCTTGGACTCTTGAGTTCGCTCCGCAACTTGAGTTGCTTGAGGTTAAACGGTGAGGTCCAAGCACGAAAAATCCAGACTGCAGAGTGACCAGGGGTGCTGGATCTTGTTCAGTTGCTCGAAAGTGAAGAGAGTCTAGCAATTCTTCAGTAATCTGTCCAGTATTCACGTTCGCAATGGATAGAAACCTGGGAAGGCATTTTTTTAAATATATGGACTAGTGCTGTCAATTACAGAAAGTCGTGATACCGATACCAAACCAAATACCAACAGGAACCGTGGGAAAATACCGAAACCGAACCGACTTGGGAATATCAGGGAAATGCCAACTTTTTACCAAAGTCACAGTCTCTTTTACATTAGCGAGGATTCACAACACCAACAAAATACCAAATGTTTTAGCCTCGAAACGCCAAATACCAAGTTGGTATCGGTTTGGTATCGGTATGCCAAAAAGTTGGTATTCGATTGACATCTCGTCATCATCATACGCAGACGGCACCACACAGGCCAGGTGCCGTCTGCGTGGCGCCGGGCGACCATCAGGAGTAAACTTCGATTGTGAATATGACCACAAAAATAACCCGTTACCCGTTACTCCTACCCTACCCTTAACCCGTGATTGTGAATACGGCCACTGAAGACATCCAAGGCCAGTGTCACAACTGATTTCTGTTTGTGCGATGTAAAATGTTTAAGATTTATCATTCCAACGGTGAGCTGTTTATGCAATACATCGTCTTACGCCTCTGGCGGGGGCTCACTTTATGTCATCTTTTATTGATCACCCTGTAATTTAGAGGATAGCGCGTGGATGTTTAAATGCGTTTATCCCGCACCATAGACAGTGTTTACAATTGCTTCACGTGCAAAGAGAGAAAACTATCAGATATTGTGTAACTTTGTGTATATTGTGTAATATTGTGTATTGGTTTGTAAAACGTCTAGGCGATTAATAAACTGTTAAACGTCTAGTAGACATTTCGTCTAGTACGAAATCTGTTGTATTTTTATATAAAATGTATTCCTTATCATTTAGCGCTCGAAAGATATCGGCGGTAGGGAATAAAATTATTAAACCGCTCGTAGGTAGAAAAATCATTTAAACGTCTCGCCTAACGGCTCGACGTTTAAAAGATTTGTTCTGCCTACTCGCGGTTTAATATATAACCACCCTGTATTTCAGTTGGAACGGTAGTTAATGACAAAAAACACCGATATCTATGTAACGTCATTTATGACGTTGCACATGGTTCAAAACGCAAAAGTTGAGCATCGATCTTGCAAGGAGTGAAGCGATACGAGCACGACTCCATGTTCAAAGATAGTCTTAAATCATTTTTTCAGCAAAATAAATTTTAATATTTCCCTTGTTGAATTACGATGGTGAGGTCACGTCATTGACCTAGCTTTACCTGACTGCTTTATAGAAAATTACGAGACATAAAAGTTGCAAGGTCTCGGAAGAATATGAAGTCTTGTGAATTTTATTCGCCTGCAGAAGTTGACCTAGCAATGACGGAGTTGCCAAGCCCTAATGTTTTAGAACCGAGTGAAGTCTTTTATGACGTAATAGGTCAGTGACTCGACAAGAATTGAAAATGTAATTGGTCGTTGGTGTCACCAGAGAATCGGCTTGAATCAAGTCAGGTGTGCTATTTTTCAGCTTAGTCTATGGTTACCTTGTTGAGAGTAATCGCAAGAAGTCTGGGGTAGGTAACACCCGTCACCCTCAACCATGGAAAGTTATGCTTTTGCGGAGTGACCTTCAAAGCTAGTGCGCCCCATGCACTGTCGTTTTTCAGCTTGCTGTCGGTTTTCCAATACATGGAAGCCAGTTACAGCCTACAGGCGTCTCTTAGTCTCTCATTGGTCAATCGCACACACCAAGTGTGGTCCATCAATGACCAATGAGAAGATGAGAAACGCCAGCAAACTGACAGCATGCCGACTTGGTGGGCAAACGGCGCCCTGACCACACCCCCTCCCATCTATCGCTGACACCCTGCTCGGTAACTCGTCTCGAGACGCGACTGAGCCAGGCCCTTCGACCGGTTACCGCCGCCGGCATAATTCCGCCTGATTCCGACTGCGCCGCTGGACACCACACTGCGGCGAACGACCCCGCTGTCAGACTCGGGCCGAATGCACCCCCTCCCCTACCCCCACTCGAGCTGTGGCGAGGGTGAGGGTATTCACCGCATCAAACCTACAGGCCGCCTGGACCCTTATCTTGAGACCAATAGTACCCGTTTACCCAAACGTATCATCCTCGCACACGCTTGGTGTAGCTGCTTTCCCTTAACAAGTGTGTCTCCTTCATTCGCAGAGCTGCCGATCTGGAACTTTGACGGCTCGTCGACCGGTCAGGCGGAGGGCAGCAACTCGGACGTCTATCTGCACCCGGTGGCGCTCTACCGGGACCCCTTCCGCCTCGGAAACCACAAGCTGGTGCTGTGTGAGACCTACAAGCACAACCACAAGCCGGCCGACACCAACCACCGTCACACCTGCAAGGAAGTGATGGACAAAGCCGCCGACCAGCACCCGTGGTTCGGTATGGAGCAGGAGTACACCCTGCTCGACTCGGACCAGCACCCGTTCGGCTGGCCCAAGAACGGCTTCCCGGGGCCGCAGGGACCCTACTACTGCGGCGTGGGCGCCTCCAAGGTGTATGGCCGTGACGTGGTGGAGAGCCACTACCGCGCCTGCCTGTACGCCGGCGTCATGATCGCCGGCACCAACGCCGAGGTCATGCCGTCCCAGTGGGAGTTCCAGGTCGGTCCGGCCGAGGGCATCCGGATGGGTGACGACCTCTGGATGGGCCGCTTCCTGCTGCACCGCGTCGCCGAGGACTTCGGCATCTCGGTCTCGCTGGACCCGAAGCCGATTCCTGGCGACTGGAACGGCGCCGGCTGCCACACTAACTTCAGCACGGTGGCGATGCGCGAGAAGGGCGGCATCACGCACATCGAGAAGGCCATCGAGCGGCTGGCGGGCAACCACCAGCACCACATCTGCATGTACGACCCGAACGGAGGGCGTGACAACGAGCGCCGCCTCACGGGTCTGCACGAGACGTCCAGTATCCACGACTTCTCTGCGGGCGTGGCGAACCGCGGCGCCAGCATCCGGATCCCGCGTCAGGTGGCCGAGGAGGGCCAGGGCTACCTGGAGGACCGGCGGCCCAGCTCCAACTGCGACCCGTACCGGGTCACAGAGGCCGTCGTGCGCACCATCTGCCTGGATGCGTGAGCGCCGGGATCACTGCTGTGATCGCTCCGTGACGGGTCGCTGGCGATCGCCGAAAAACGGGGGAGGTAAAGACCAATATCCTCGAACAATTTGTTTGTTCGTTTGATGTATTTGTGGCTGTTTTTAATGAGGCTATACTTGTAGGAAAGCACAGTCTTTGAAGGAATCTCTTGATTTACCCTTTCGATGGTGTAAGGATATTACTGGGCGGTATGACCGATGTTTGTAGATTATGTAGATAGCCGTGTATAAATGATTGAAATGTATCATGCCCGATGTGTTATGTGAGTGCTGAAAGAATCTCGTCAAGAAAGATACTTCAGTTCTTTTCCCGTATTATTGAATCCGATACATCTGTGATGTGATTAGCAGACATGTTTTGATGCTCGGGATCGTGGACTAGAATATGCTCACTGTTATCTTACTTTTTGGGGGTCAGTTGCGCCTATCTTTTTATCGGGTTTCCTATCTTCAAGCATATGTCGATCACCGTGATCCCCAATTGCCCACGATGTCATCAGTATAAACGATGCCTTAATGAACATGCTGCGTTGTATGGATGCCTGAGAGTCGGTTAGTCTGTTTTAACTAACCGCTTTAGTTGTATCTGAAATCGTGTGTACGAGAATAGTGTCATCTCATTTTGCCAGTGTCCGTATTACGTATGCAAATACATCCCTGTACATTGTATGTACAGTACAACCCGTTGCTGTTGTTTTGTGAGCGTATTTCTCCACCGACGATTTCATTTATAAATAGGCTGATCGAGAGCGAAGGGCTCGCAACGCGGATAGGAAAATTTTGCTGATACCTGTAGCGGGGTTTCGCGGCGTTGCGGGGCTAACCGGGCAGTGTCTTTCGATAGATAGAGAGCAAGATGAAAGAGAACTCCGTCGGTGCGCTCCATAGGAGCCCTTCTTGTCCAGCCCCTCGCGAACCCGTTCCGACTCTGACTCTATCTTTCCGGGGCGATCAATCATCGGAAACACATAGGCCAGGGTTAGGTAATGGGATGATAGTAAATGATAACATAGTACCCTTGATCACAATGAAATAAGAACTCAACTCTACATAACCCAAGGTCCCACTCTCAAACAACAGCGCCCTTCCTAGCTTGAGGGTCATCTCCCACCAGATATATGTATCAATCATTCGTCCATTTATCCATCCCCTTACAACCCTGCCATTCGTCCACTTATACCTCGTAATTTACCAGAGCTGACCGTCTCCGGTCCCTCCCCTTTTTCCTAACTTCCCCCGGTGGTGCTAGGGCGCGCGCAAAGTCGTTATCGAGTCATTGGCCTTAACCCTCGCCGGACCTATTGGTTTTCTACATACGCGCCGGCCGAGGGGGGGGGGCGGGTACGACCCCCCCTCGCCGTTTCGCCCCTGGTGGAGCTAGCGCGTCGCGGAAAAAACGAGCGTGTGCGCCGTTACGAGACGCAGAGATTGGTACCCGATTTTAAGGTCCTAGGTCAACCGGTGACCTCTGAGGTCAGGTCAAGTGCCCCAAGGTACGGTTCAGTTTTTGGTGAATAACTTCGCAAAAAACGGCCGCAGAGCGCCGATTTTGGCAGCATCGTGTTCGTCTCGCTCAGGCGCGTCGAATGATATACTTTTTGTCCGGGTCAGGTCAACTTGGGGTGTTGACCTCAGGTCAAGGTCAGGTCAGCACCCCCAGGTCACGAAGTTAGTCGAAAGGGGTCATGTCGCATATCATTCGATTCGGCAGGTCTTCCTGAGTCCATTGGTGGCTTTCCCGACTCGCTAGCTCAATTTGATCAAGAGTTATTGACGAAAAACTAATATGACCTTGATGACGTCATAAATGACGTCACGCAAGGTCAACATTGCAAAAGTGACGCATCTAACCTTGCAAGGAGTGCATAAAATCACGATTCTGTGTGCTTGAGATAGTTGGAGATCGTTCCCGGCGCCAGAATAGCAGTTTTCATTTTTCCCCATTGACTTATAATGGTGAGGTCACGAAAATGACCTGACCTCATATGACCTTTAGGAAAAATCCGAGATATACAAGTTGTGGGACTCATAATGGATACTAGATCCTGCAAGTTTCATTTCCCTGTGACATCTCCTCTGGCAGTGAGGGCGTTGCGAAGTTGCGACATCTGAAGACCGTGCAGAGGTTCACTTATGACGTCATAGGTCAGTGACCTGACCTGACCCAAAAATGCGGTTGGTGTCAAAGGATGCGGCTTGGATCAAAGGTCAGGTATGCCAAGTTTCAGCTCTCTATCGCCAGCGTGTTCGGAGCTATCGCGAAAAAACCCTATGGGGGGGCGGCACCCGCCCCCCCCCCCCCTCGGCCGGCGAGGGTTAAATTTCATTTCACCGTTATCCCTTCATAACCACAATGTTCCATACATCAGACAAACGCTTCATAATGCTCACGCTACACAATTAGAGATACGACCCACCACAGATTTCGGCACTCGACCCTCGCGTTACGTGACTTATTGCGGTCCATCCCATCACCATGTCGAACTACCTACACAAAAAAAAACATAAATGTCCTTCGGCCAGCGGTTCCGAGACTACGGCTCGCAGGACACTGTGTAGTCCGGTTTCCGCGGGGGACTTATTTGAAATTTGAGACCGGGGCTGGGTAACTAAGGTCCGTCCGGGCTGCCTGCATCGTCTCCGTATAGCCGCGGTTTTCGGGCCAGCCCCCGGCGACCGAAAGGGATTAGTCGTTCGTCGGCTTTACACGAATCCATGACTACCAGTTATGCCAAATTGCCTATAAGAAAACGAAAACTAAGCGTACCACGGCCCGCGGTGGGCTTATCTAAACTTTGAAACCGGGCTGGGTAACTAGGTCCGTCCGGGCTGCCTGCATCGTCTCCGTATAGCCACGGCTTTTGAAACAGCACCGGCGACCGAACGGGTTAGCCTCCGTTGGCTTCACACAATCCACGACTACCAGCGTTATAGGTGCCCGAAGCCCTATCTATCCGTTGCTGGTAGTTAAGCTGTCGTCACAGACCTAACCGAAATGACCGCTGCACGGTCGGAGTAAATCGACTGACAGCGGGGTGGCCAGTACCGACTTACCGCGATCACCCGACTCGCATGCTTTGGTATTTAATGTTCACCCCCGTCCTGCAGCATTACACGTTTCTTCGCGGGACATTACTTAACCGGCGGCATACGTCTCCTCGCTGGGACGCCTGGGGTCCTAACCATCTCCGAAACTACCTACGTCACTTATCGAATGTCATCCTGCGCTGATCACTCAATGGACCGATAGCGGACCTAACCTATCTTTTAAAACCGGGCGGGGTCACTAGGTCCCTCCGGGCTGCCTGCATCGTCTCCGTATAGCCACGGCTTTATGGGGCCCGCGCCGGCAACCGAACGGATTAGCCTTCGTCGGCTACGCACTCATCCTCAATAATCGATCCTCAACTCGCTCTCACCCTTTCTCTTCACTTCGCGACTTATTGCACGCATCCAGGGCTTACCCAAGCGAGGCCTACTATTTAAGTGGGGTCTATCCGAGCTGAGCTTCATTTAGGAATTCCGATTCCTCTCCGTGTACAGTCTTCTTCCATTTCACTCGCTTCTCATCTCCCTCCTAACCCGTGGCCGCGTCGGTGGATTCTCCACGCACAGGGGCGTAACGTGCATCATCTATCTCCCCGGCTCCGTCCCTTGCAGTGTCCATGTGGGGTACAGTTACATATATTTCGTGTGCGGCAAAGTCTATGTGCGTTCCTTGTATTCGGACCGTTGTTGGATTGGATGGAGCGCCAGGAATTCCGCTGACGCACTATATTGATGGAAACCGGACGGTGGTACGGTAGGGATAGGATAATAACAGCCAGAGCACTCTCCAGCATAGGTAAGGTAAGGAGGTCCTGCGTGCTCTGTGCGTGCTGCTTGTAATCGGACCGTCGGATAAAATGGAGCGCCAGGAATTCCGCTGACGCGTAATAGTTATGGGAACAGGACAATGGTACGATAGGAATAGGATAATAACAGCCAGAGCACTCTCCAGCATAGGTAAGGTAAGGAGGTCCTGCGTGTTCTGTGCGTGCTGCTTGTAATCGGACCGTCGGATAAAATGGAGCGCCAGGAATTCCGCTGACGCGTAATAGTTATGGGAACAGGACAATGGTACGGTAGGAATAGGATAATAACAGCCAGAGCACTCTCCAGCATAGGTTAGGTAAGGAGGTCCTGCGTGTTCTGTGCGTGCTGCTTGTAATCGGACCATCGGATATAAAGTGGAGCGCCAGGAATTCCGCTGACGCGTAATAGTTATGGAGACAGGACAATGGTACGGTAGGAGTAGGATAATAACAGCCAGGGCACTCTCCAGCATAGGTAAGGTAAGGAGGTCCTGCGTGTTCTGTGCGAGCTGCTTGTAGTCGGACCATCGGATAAAGTGGAGCGCCAGGAATTCCGCTGACGCGTAATAGTTATGGAAACAGGACAATGGTACGGTAGGAATAGGATAATAACAGCCAGAGCACTCTCCAGCATAGGTAAGGTGAGGGGGTCCTGCGTGTTCTGTGCGTGCTGCTTGTAGTCGGACCATCGGATAAAGTGGAGCGCCAGGAATTCCGCTGACGCGTAATAATTTTGGGAACAGGACAGTGGTTCGGTAGGAATATGATAATAACAGCCAGAGCACTCTCCAGCATAGGTAGGGTAAGGAGGTCCTGCGTGTTCTGTGCGTGCTGCTTGTAGTCGGACCATCGGATAAAGTAGAGCGCCAGGAATTCCGCTGACGCGTAATAGTTATGGAAACAGGACAATGGTACGGTAGGAGTAGGATAATAACAGCCAGAGCACTCTCCAGCATAGGCAAGGTAGGGAAGTCCTGAGAGTTCTGTGTGTGCTCCCTGTATAATCCCTGTATATAATGCACTGTGTAAAATCAAACAGACAAAGAAAACTGATCGTTGTAAATTGCTCTGGCCAGACACCTTGGAAATGACCTCTTTCCCGACTGTGGGTTGGCATATGGCCTTTTATGCTCCATCCTCCGATCCCTGCCCTTCAGCACTACTCACACTCGTATTTCAATATTTACAAGTCCCATTTATTTACATACTCCGACGCAACGCCTTAAATTCCATTGCACGTCAAATTTAAGGAAAACATTCTGGGCCCAGGCCGCCCATCAACTGAGCCCCACAAGCCGCGTGGTGCGGTACACAGTCGCCCGTCCCTTTCCCGACTCCCCACGGTGTATAATCCCCTCCGTCCGCCTTAATCACCACGGGGCGCCGGACGACTGAAGAGGGCCCACGTCGGCACGCGTATCGCACCACGCGCACAGCTACATAATTGACCGAATCGAATTGTGAACTTAAGCTACCTAGACTGAAAGTCCCAAGAATAAATTGAACTACCTAAACTGAATGGCCTAAAATATTGCGGACGACACCAAAAAGGGGAATATAATGTGGCTCACATAGCAGTAACGAGGGAGGGGGGGTCACATTGAAGGATTTAGGGACTAGGTGCGCACCCGTGTTCACCGCGTGACCTTACTTGAGATGGAGTCGCTGACATGATGGTCGTGTCCGTCCAGCGCCCGGCCCGGCGGCCAGAGCCGCCGCCGGCGCCGTGATGCCAGCCGCTGGTGTCTCGTGGGCTGTCCGCGATGTCAGACGAGGGACGTGGGCCGAGAGAGTGCCACCGGCGCGGGGTGCGTCGTCCGAGAGAGAGCCAGA